ACAACATTATTAACAAGGGTAGATCTAACATTCCATCTCTCATTCATGGGACTGATCTTATTACCTCTCCCAAGGATAAGGCAGAACTATTTGCAAAGAACTTTTCTTCTAATTCCACTCTTGAATCTTATGGACATTCTCTTCCTTCCATTCCAGTCAAACAGGTTGACCCATTGTTAGACATTCAAATCACTCCGGCTTCTGTTGCTAAAGTCATATCTCAATTAAACTTGTCTACAGCTTGTGGTCCAGACAACATTCCTGTCACAGTCTTGCAGATTTGTTCTCCAGAACTTTCTTCAATTCTCTCTAAACTATTTAACAAGTATTTGACTGAGTCTTGTTTTCCTGCTTGTTGGAAAATGGCATCTGTGGTTCCAATATTCAAAAACTCTGGAGAAAACTCTGACCCCTCCAATTATCGTCCGATCAGTCTTCTTTCTGTTATTAGCAAGGTCTTTGAGTCTTTGATCAATAAATTCCTCACATCTCATCTTGAGTCAAGTAAACTACTGTTAGACAATCAATATGGTTTTCGATCATCTCACTCTACGGCTGACTTGCTAACTGCTGTAACTGAAAGATTTTATCGTGCATTAGATGGAGGCGGTGAGGCTAGGGCTATTGCTCTCGACATATCTAAAGCTTTAGACAAAGTTTGGCATGCTGGTCTTCTCCATAAGCTTGCTTCATATGGTGTTTCTGGGAAAGTTTTTGAGATTATCAAATCATTTCTTTCTGACCGGTTTATTAAAGTCATCCTTGAAGGCCAACACTCTTCTTTATTTCCAGTAACTTCTGGGGTTCCCCAAGGTTTCATCCTCGGCCCTGTTTTGTTTCTTATCTACATAAACAATTTTCCTGAAAACCTTTTATCTAAAGTAGCTCTTTTTGCTGATGACTCAACTTTATAGTCCTGTCTTGACAAAAAGTCTTCTCTTTTCGATCGCCTAGAACAAGCAGCTGATCTTGAATCCGATCTCACTTCAGTAATAGATTGGGGTTCACAGTGGCTTGTGAATTTCAACTCTAAAAAAACCAAGTTGCTTACTGCAAACAACTACCGTAATATGGTCAACATTCCTATATTAATGAATGGCAATCCTCTTACTGAGTCCTCCTCTTTACGTCTTCTTAGATTATCGCTTACTACTGACCTCTCATGGAAACCATATATACAATCGATTGCTAAATTAGCTTCTGCTAAGGTTGCTTCTCTTTATCGTGCTCGCCATTTCCTTACTTCTGATTCCATTCTCTACCTCTACAAATCTCTTATTCGTCCCTGTATAGAATACTGTTGTCATATTTGGGCTGGTTATTCTAATGATTCACTTTCTCTTCTTGACAAGGTCCAAAAACGCATTGTAAATGTTGTTGGACCTGGACTATCTGCTAAGCTTGAACCTCTTTCCCATTGTCGTAAAGTTACATCTCTTTCTCTTTTCTACAAATACTATCAAGGTCACTGCTCAAAGGAGTTATCATCTCTAGTTCCATCAACTAAAATTCATTCTCGTTTTATTCGTCATTCAGCTAAGTCTCATTTGTTTACTGTATCTGTCCCTGCATGCTCTAAAAACTTTTATTCATCTAGTTTTTTTCCCCGCACTTCAATCCTTTGAAACTCTCTCCCATCTTCATGTTTTCCTGACTCATACAACCTTCAACTTTTCAAGTCTTCTGTCAACCATTTCCTTGCTCTATAACTCTGTTCTTTTTTTTCCTAGTAACTCCCAACTTAATAGTGGTTGCTTGCAGCCTTTTTGGAAGTGAATGCAAATAATAAAAAAAAAAGATCTTTGTAAGTACATTTTAATTGTATAGCGTTGGTCAAGATTATTGCATCTTGATGGAGGGCACATACACAAACAATGAGTCTCTAATGTTCCAACACTTATAGGCCATTTTGATCCTAAAATTCAAAACTTAGAAAACCTAATAACTTATTCAGGATATTTAGTTTTAAAAGAAAAAAGTTCTAGTTACTGCTTCATCATTGTATATATTGCTTCATCATTATATATATTGCTTCATCATTGTATATATTGCTTCATCATTGTATATTGCTTCATCATTGTATATATTGATAATTATATTTAATGTTAAAAACAACTAATTTTTTTTTTTTGTTTCTGCTGTTAATTTGTTTAGATCATTGCTTTTACTTTTGTCAATTTTTTGGTATGAAGAATTTTGTTTCAATTCTTCTTCGGTAACATTATATACTTTTCAAATATGGTCTTCATGCTTTAACATTGAACTTTATTTTTAAAAAATTTTTGAAAAAATTTTATTTATAAAAAATAACTTTTTATAACCGATAACCATTGATGCTTTTTCACATCTCATTCATTAAACTTACATATAATAGCATCAAAGGAAAAAATAGAGATATAAAACCAGATTAATTTTGGGACTACCCAGGCCTTCTCAGGAAACGCATGCGGTCGCACGCCTTGAATGACCACACATATATATTTTTTTGTTGATAACATGGCCAGAATTTATTTTGCGTTTATTAAAAATGATGCAAATTTTACCAAATATTAGCTTATTTAAACTTTTAAATTAAACTTTTAGCAATTTTGTATAAAAGCTGTTAGTCTAATAAATAAAATAAGCTTAAAAGTTTTGTGTTCGGCCGAAAGAAAGCAAACTTATTACAAAAAATGCCACTTGCACTGATGTTACACGGGAAACAAGGTAAAAAAACAAATTCAACTTATAGGTCTCATTTCTGCGAATCAGTAAATCAGTTTGTATTAGAAACTTTTACAAAATGCAGATAATTCTATACTGATTTAAAATTTTTATAAAAACTTTTTTAAAATAAATTTATTTTTTTGGTACTGTATTTTTTACTTAAATTACATCACTTACATTATCGAACGGTTATCATGATTTTTTTTTTTTTATTATCTATTATTAAGAGTTAGAGTTACGTAACAAAAGAATTGCATAAGTATTGAACTCATTCATTAAAAATAGTTAACAAAGAAATATTTTAAAAACTGGTGGCACTCTTCCTGAGTGATTTTTTATAACTTTCATTAAAGTTATCAAACCGGAAATAATTTTTTTGCAAGACCAAGAGTAACTTCAGAAAAATATTTTAGTTTTACATCTTTATTATTACTTAATTGAGTAATTGGTTTGTTGAAGTTTCTATTTACACTTCTTACGTTTATGCATATTGCTTTATTTTTATAAGATTGAATTTTTGAAATGCTGCTAAGCAGAGCCGGCGCGAGTAGGGGTCATGCGGGTGGGTGGGTGGGGGGTCCCATAAGAACTTTTGCCGTCTTAAAAATAAAAATATATATATAAAAAAAAAGGTCTTCGTTTTTTAAAATTTACCGACTGCCATAACGACATTTGCCGACTGACTTACTAACCTATCGACAGAGTCGATAGGTTAGTAGAATATTAAATTTATATTATATATTAAATTAATAAAAATAAAAATTTAATATATAACGAATATTTACAGTAAAACGTACTGGTTTTACTGTAAATATTACAGTAAAACCATACTAAGTATAAACTAGATACTAAAATAATAGTTTTACTAAAGCGTATAAATTAATTTAAAGTATAAACTGAAAAAAATACGAGTGACTTGACAACATATAAACTGAACTAATGAATATAAATATTTTTTCTTCAAAAAACTTTGGTAATTACTTAATTACCGAAACTATTATGAATTAACACGCATTGAATAAATCATCAAGTCTGCAGATTGCGGCTAACATTATATAGACCCCGAGAACCAAAAAAAAAAATGGAGAAGGCGAGCTTCGACTAAAACGCTCATTTTAATTTTGTTGGTATGTATTTATTATCTAGTTTCAATCAATCAATCAAAATTCAATCAATCAATCAATCAAAAAAAATTTAGCCTAAATGTTTTTTTTTAAACATTTTCTTTAATATGAACACAACTTGTCTCGGCAGTTGGGGATCCCTTTAACAATTTTTAAAAATTACACGAATCGATTCTTACTGTAAAACCAATTACTAAGTTGCATTTTAGATTAAATTAAAAACAAGCAAACAATAGTAATTAATATAATTAAAGATACTTAACCACCATGATAATGGAAAACTAAACATTGATTAATTTCTTTCATCTTTTTTTGAATGTAAAAGATAATTTTTTGTTTCTTTAACAAGGTTGTCTAATTGTAATTAATTTGTTAATGTTAAAAATGTTAATGATGAATTTAATAGGTACTAAATTTATTGTTTTCATATATTTTTGTTACTGTTTCTTATTTAATAAAACAACATTTTAGCATTATCACCTTCTTTCAAATCAAAAAATTTTAAACTTTCTAAAATTCTTTTAAAATTTTTTAATTTCTAAAACTCTTTTAAAATCATTATTTTAGATGGATCACTGTTTTTAATCTGTATACTTGCAAATCAAAATTATTATAAACATATAAACTTTCTAAGAACATTTTGAGAAAGATCACTGAGTTCTTATAAACATATGAACTTTCTAAGAACATTTTGAGAAAGATCACTGAATTCTTATAAACATGTGAACTTTCTAAGAACATTTTCAGAAAGATCACTGAATTCTTATAAACATATGAACTTTCTAAGAACATTTTGAGAAAGATCACTGAATTCTTATAAACATATGAACTTTCTAAGAACATTTTGAGAAAGATCACTGAATTCTTATAAACATATGAACTTTCTAAGAACATTTTGAGAAAGATCATTTTCTTAAAATATTTTAAAAAAGATCATTGAATATATAATGATCAAAAATCAAACAATAAAAAAATAAATAATATTTAATTTATATAAAATATAAACTTTTTATTTAACAAATTAAAAAGCATTACTCTAACAATTGTATAGTGATTTTTAAACAAAACAATTTTTAAAACATTAATTTATAAAAAAAACAAAAACAACAACAAACAAACAAAAAAAAACAATAAATATAAAAAAGGGCATTACAAGTTCATAAGTATTACCTTTGAGCTAAAGCTTTTTTTAATCTATCATTTTCATATTTGAGATTTGATTCATTAAAGCTATTTGATGAATGACGACTGTGTGGAGAACGTCTACCTTCCTAAATAGTTTAAACTTTCATTACAATAATTAACCATTTTTTTAAATTAAAGATTTTTGAAAATTATAAAAATTTAAAAATATTCAATAGACTTTTTTAATAATAATATACTATATATAATATATGATATATATATATATATATATATATATATAATATATATATATATATATATATATATATATATATATATATATATATATATATATATATGTATATATATATATATATATCGACTTCACAATATATTATTGAAAAAATTTACAAGAAATATTGCTTAAGCAAAAAAAAAACTCATTTATCATTTAATAATCATTAAATAAAAGGTTAGGGTCCATATGTTAGCTCACTTAACATAATTATTAAGAATATATTACTTATAATAAGTAATTGTAATAAATTATTACAATTTTTTTTGTGGTGTTTTAATTGTTAAAAAAATATTAATTACTTCATTGCTTCCAGTACTACCAGATGAGATAATAGATCCACTTTGACTTGCAGAAAGAGATACAGATAGAGGGCTATTATTGATAATTTTTGAATGTGGTGGAGAAATCCCATTAGAAAACAATGAGGAACTTCCATTAGATAACAATGGTGATGTTCCATTACAAACATGCATCTTGTATTCATTGAACTTGTCAGAAAACTGTTTATTGATATATAATAAATAAAGGGTTAAATATCAGCAATATTTATTTGCAATAATACAATATTTCATTTTATAAGAAAAAACTGGTTCGTCTGTAAAAGATCAAACAGATCATATCTCATCCTATAATAAATTCTTTTACCTTCACCAAATCATTTTCTGAAGTAAAGCCAAGACCAAACATAGTGTTTAACTTTGCATCTGACCATTGCCCAAACTTTTGAGACGTTTTTGTGAAAGACATTCCTGATGTAATTGTACTATTGATAAGAACCTAAAAAAAATAAAGCTTATAAAATGATACAGATATTATTATGATAACATGTCCAATGAGAAATTGGATTGTTGAGGTTCTATTTTTTTAATAAGTCTGTGCAGAAATGTTTATTTAGCCTGTGCAGAAAACACTCATATTTTTTTTAATATTTATCATAAAACAATAAAATTTATAAACAATGAATAAGCATACTTCTCCATTATTTTCAGAAAAGATCTTATAGATAAACTTGCTAGTATCATAATGAAAAGATACATTCACAGACTGATCAAACAAAGGTATCCATTTTTTCTTTGTATTAGGATCGATTTGAAAGGCACGAGCAAAAAATGTACATAGCGGTGGATCATCACTAAAAAAATAAAATAAAATGAGAGAACTGAAAAAAACAAAAAACAAAAAACAACTAAATAATGAATATTTAAATAAATTAAATTGTTTGCAAACAAAGTAGCAAACAAATTAAAATTAATTTGTTTGCTACTTTGTCATCAGATTTTGATGTCTTATCAATAAATAAATAAAATCTATTTAAATAGATTTATTCTTTATAAGCTTTTCAAAAATGTATAACACTATGTACTTATGACTTAAACTTTTAACAATATATATTTTAAAAAGTTTTTTAATAAATTTTTCCCCCTACATCTGAAAAGGGTTTAGGTTGTGTAAGAAAACAGGTCCATATAAGGAGGTTATTTGTAAATAAAGTTGTTAATTTAATGATTCGTAATTTGATGATATATGATATATAATTTAATGATTTCTAGGAATATTTTTCTTGGCTTTTATGAGACTTATAAAAATACATTTTGAAATAAAACAGCTTGACTAATAAATAAAATAATTTGATTTCAAAATTTAAATTTTCTTGCTTCATTAGGCAGATTTTACAAGATGAAGTAATTATCCTTACACTTTTTGTCTATTCTGTTCCACTTAAATTTAGTATTTTTAAATAACATTAAATGAATACCAGAATTTTTATTAGTTTTAATGTTTACCTAATATATAAATTTTTAATTACTTTGTATATAAATTGTATATTTTTAATTGCTTCAGAAGGAACAAGTGTGTTTTGAACAAAGCTATTATATTGTATAATATTAATTATTATACTTTGAGTGATTAGAATTATTTAAATATATATTCAGTGAAAATTTTTATAACTTGTGAACAGCAAAACAGCAAAATACGTATTTATTATGACAAGTTATTTCAGCTATGAGTATAAAGTTGATAAAGTTGCACATTGGCACTCTAAAGTCTCAAAAATTGATTGATAGAAACATAATTCACAGCAGAATTTAAGAATGGTAGTTGGAATTCATCTTGGAAATGGCTGCAAAAAACACCAACTCTAACAAAAAAAAAATTAAACTATCATATCTCTGAAAATGTTAAGAGTTAGTATATAATGGAAGTAAGAAAAAGGATAACACATAGATTACTAAACAATTTGAAGAAAAGTGCAACAGTATCATTCATTGATGTCAGTAATTAGCACCCCATATATCAATGCAGAATTCTCAATGGGTTTATAATTTTTAAAACTTTATGACCTTTTTTTTTTTTTTTTGAAATAACAGGACAATTTCAATAAAAATTCTCAATATTTTGCAGAACAATGACAATAAATATCACAAAAACACAGTAAAAAAGATTCCTGGCTAACACCCTGATGCGGCACCCAGAATAATGACTGAAAATTTAAAAAAAGTTTTATCATTTTTAGTACAGATTCATTTATCAAGTTTAGTACAGATTCAAGTTATCCAGTTTAGTACAGATTCATTTATTAATGACATCACTGTTAACAATAACATTCAAAGTGCAAGTTTTAAGAACAGTTTTAAGTTTTAAGAGTCAAATTGCAAGGTTTAAGAATATTTGTAAAAAAATGGACTGGATTCAGAGTTGACAGAAAAACTTGTTTGGCGAGCATGTGCTTGGATTACGAGTGTATAAACATGGCAACGAAGTACATTGGAAACATAACAACCTGCTCAAAACTCCTGAAAGAAGGATTATTCATAGGCAAATCTTTTTTTAATGTAGACAGCTAGCCAGGCTGAATATAAATACAATCCTAATTTAATTCTAACTCAATTTATATATAAAGCAAACATTAAACTAATTATAACACCGCTTGGTCTCTAGAACACAAACTCGGCATACTTTTCTGGGAATTTCCGCACTTTTGTCAATCACTTGAGGGTGTCAACAGTGGATTCTTTTAATTCACTTGTGCTTAACTCAGGTGATATAGGAGCAGGACAGGCGCTTGTCATGTCTTGGAAATTTGTTGGTTTCAACTGCAGAGATTATCCTGGTTAAATTTAAAATATCCGGAAAATATTTTTCTAATAATATCAGGAAAATGTTTTCCTAATATTATCCGGAAAATATTTTCAAGACACATACAGAAAGTTACGGGTATAAAAATGCTTTTTGTGTATTTAAGAATATTTTTGTTAATATGCCAATGAATAAATTGATTTGATAATTTTAATTAACTAAAAACTTATACTATAATTTTAATACATACATTTTGTGAATAAAAAAAAGCAATTGCTTTTACTCAGCGTTTTTTGAGAAATTGCTCAGCATTATGTGAATAAGTTTTTTGAGAAATTGCTCAGCATTATGTGAATAAGTTTTTTGAGAAATTGCTCAGCATTATGTGAATAAGTTTTTTGAGTAATTGCTCAGCATTATGTGAATAAGTTTTTTAGCAGTTTTGCTCAAAATTTTATTTACGTAAAGCTGAGCAATTACTCCGATTTGTCTCGGCACTTAATTGTTTATAATTATTTGGTAGTTAAGAAGTCGGCACTTCCTTTAAAATAAATATATGCGTTCAAATAATGAAAAATTTGTATAAATGACTCACCATAAGTAAAGTATAGCATAGGGTAATTGATGAACAATAGCTTTAATGTTTTAATTATTTGATGACAATACCTTTAATGTTTTAAATATTTCCAGAAAACTATTTTGATATCCGGAAAAAATAAAATTTTTTAGAAATACCCGGAATTCCAGAAATAGCCGGAAAAAGATAATCCCTACAACTTAAACTCCTCGCTCCATATCCAAGACAATCTCTTTGTTCCATTTGCTTGTGCATTTTAAATCAGAAGACTTTACAAATACTTTTACTTAGTTTTTGATTAATTTTGGCACAATCTGGTGCGGTTTCCACTCATAGAACACAGCTCTATAGGGAAGTGACATTTCTTTGCCATTTATTCACAGTATAATAGTCTACTGTATAATAGTACACTATCATAGAGTAGATTATCTTTATTACTGCTTCTGGGTGCCATACATTTAACTGTTTGATGATGACATTCAACAACTCCATTTTTATATGGCCTTTAGGCACAAACAAAGTGGACAGACTCTATAGTTTGCGCACAAGTTTTGAGTGGAATGTGTGGCTGTTGTCATATAGCACTTGTAATAGAGGTCCTTATTCTTGGAATATTTCTTTTAAATGGAAGCACACTGTTATTTATTTCTTATTTAATAATTTTTTTGAAATTGCAAATTTGCTCTTTTTACTGCAACCAACAATTAATAAATAAATCTCTGGCTTGTAATGAGTTATGTCAATAGACAACACCAAAAAAAACTTTTAAACTTCAAGACTTCCTTCCTCCCTTCAAATGCCTCAGCAAGAGTAAACAACTGAAATTAATCAAACAGACATGTCAGGATAGAAAGAGTCATCTGCCAGAAAGAGTTTTGGTGCATTTATTGCATGTACGTCTCTCACCTTATAACACATTTATTAACCATCAATGCACAAAAAAGCAAAAAATTATTAGGCTGGCAATTTAATAAAATACTTTCTATATAGATTTTTGTATCAATTAATTGCACCCTTGAAAATCAGCACCTTCCATTTAGCCAATATGTCAGTCATGGAATCACTTCAAAATTTTAAACCTATTTACATCATAGTAATAAATTTTATCTGTTTTATTTGAAAAACCTTTTTATTTTAAACCATTTATTTTAACATTTATTTTGCGTTTTAGGTCATTTCATAGTTTTTATTTGTATGTCTTAATGATGATATTCTTTTTCTAAATATTTGAAGAGTACCTGATAAGAACTAAGTTAATTATTGAATAAATTAAACATTTATAAGTTAAGGTTAGTAATAAAAAAGATTTGTTTTTCCACAACAAATGCATTCATACATACACAACCCTTGGAATTAGGAAAAATGAGATCAGCAATAATTTACCAACATCAATCTTTTAGAGATCGGCATCAGGTCAGCAAAAAAAATTGATACAAAAGCCTTACTATAAAGCATAGAAACGAGGTCGGCAATTTTTTGCCGACCTCAAACACTTTCAGTTTGGCAGTTAGGTTGGCATTGCCAAATGCCGACCCTAATTCCGAGGGTTGCATACATATATACATACATACATAAAAAAAGCATAGCCACAAAAAAAATTGATTTTGCTTTGAGAACTTTAAATTAACAAAAAATGATAACAAAAAGTAAACTTATTAAATATAAACAAAGCTTAGTCTTATTAAATATAAACAAAGGTTAATACATTTTCTCAAAAAAGTAAACAAACCTTTAACTACTTCACAAACCTTTTATTTCCTTAAAGATTTTTGTTAAAAATGATGGCAAAAGAACAAATTAACAGTGAAAGAATTTTGCACATTTACTTAGAAACTACAAGGTCATCATCTAGAACATTTTCTGAACTAGCCAAGTCTGACAGTCAATTATTTTTTAAGTTCTCAAACATTACAAGAAATTTTTATCCATCGATTGCAAGTCAGGATTTGAAAGAATAAAAAGGTTTGAGAATTACTATCTAACTATGAAAGAGCAAATAGAAACAATACATCGCATAATTGCCTGACTTGCAAGAGAGTGCTACTACATTGACTGAGGGTTTGGTTAGGGCAGGCAGCCTATCATTTAATTAAAAAATAAAAAAATACTCAACTTTTAAAACTATTTCTGGTTTATTAGCGCTCTCTTTAAAACTACAGTTTATGGGAAATACTTTTCGACCACCGTGCAAGATTATATATATATATATATATATATATATATATATATATATATATATATATATATATATATATATATATATATATATATATATGTATATATATATATATGCATACCTAAAGTAAAGATCGTAAACTTACTGTTTGTGATAAAATAAAAACAATTAGCAAGACAAAATCAAAATAGATTATATCAAAACGCATTAATTTAATTAAGGAAACTAATTAAATTTATCGTTTTTAAAAAACCACAAAAACAAAAATTTAAAGACAAGAATGTTTTTAAAAACATTCTGAATGTTTTTGAAAACATACAGAATACTATTTTTTTTTTTTTATGCTACAAGGGATTGCTGCTACAGTGACTATTTTATTGCCTGCTGCTACAAGGAAGTGCCGCTACTTTATTTATTTACAAAAATATATTTATACAAATATGAAAAATATTAATGTAAATATTTTTTATATTTCTATATAGAAATATAACAATAATTAGCTAAAAATATAACTCTAACCCTGTCCCAATCCACACTCTCAGTCGATGTATGTACTACATCTTATATTTTTGATATAATTGTCAGTCAGTGCAGGTACTTTTCACTTTTAAAAAAAATGCTTACAGGAACTTAAAATAACTTCAAAGAATGCTAAATAGAAAAGTATTGATGCTAAAGTATAAAAGTAATTGATAAAGATTTTGTATAACTAATGTGTGCTTCGCTCTGTTTAAATCCCTATTTAGCACATTTATACTACAGAACTTTTTGTTAGAGCTTAGATTTGTAATAAATATTATTGTTTCGATAACAATTTTTTTATTTTTGACATAACTAAAACAAACTTACAAAAAAAAACAAAAAAAAACAAAAAAAAACAAAGAAATCTCTACAAAAATTTGAAAAACTCTATTTGCAGGACCCTAATTTGTATATATCATATATAATAATAATAATGTACGCATTTTTAATTATAATTTTATCCTAGTTATATAATATAAAATTTACTTATTTCAAGTTTTCTAAAAATATATATTTAATTAAGGAAAAAAGTTTTAAAATAATCCTTTATTTTTATGATCAAGTTTTAAAACATTTTTACCTCATCTTAAGCCCATTTGAAAGTAAGCGTGAGCTGAGTTGAGAATGACTACATCATTTTAGAAGTAAACGTTAATTAGAGATATATAAGTGTTTTAAAAAAAAACTAATTTTTAAAGTTACTTAAAAACACAGTATGTATTTTATCAACGGAAAAAATTGAAGATGCCAATAAATCTATTTGTATTTGTCGCTTTGTGGGAAATGTTATAAATATTTCACCGAACTTAGTGGGTATTTCCGTACTTTCAAATTTACCCGTATTTATTCGTAAACTGTTCCGTACTTACTTATATTACATACTTCTTTTACTTTCAATGATATATTAAAAATAACTAGATGTCTAACTTCCGCGTATTTTTTGAAGCAAAAATCAGCCATTATGGGGGGCAAAAATAAATAGTAAATCACGGTTGTTTGGATTAAATAATATTTAATATTCAAAAATTAGAAATCATGGTTAATTCTTGTGCAGCAGCATGTTGCACAAATAGAGCAATGAAAAACAACAACAGAGTATTTCATAAATTTCCAATTAGTAATAGCGAACTCTGTAAAAAGTGGATTGTTGCTATAAAACGTGAAACATTCCTACTGAGCACAGCTGCATTTGTAGTGATCACTTTTTACCTTCAGATTACACTATACCTGATTTTAATAACAAACCGCAATTAAAACCTTTTTCTATGCCATCTATTACTATTGATTCAAAACCAAAAGTCAAAAGAAAGTTTAGTTCTATATCGCCACAAACAAATAAAAAGATACTCATTTAAAAAGTTTTAGAAACAGGCAGTCACCATTACATCGATTTCTATTCGGATATAAGCGATAACAGTAATGTTGCTGCTAATAGTAACACAATTCATATTCATTTCACAAAAAATATTGGTAATACTTTTTGTGAAAACTTTAGTGGATTGACTTTTGATATTATAAAAAATCAGTTTAAAAACAATACCTCACTTCCTAAAGGGCATAGGTATACTGACAAAATTAAAAAATTTGCAATAACTCTGCATTTTTACTCACCTAAAGCATAAAATTTTCTACGGCTTATACTCCATTTACCTGCTTCAAGCTCTTTAGCCAACTGGACTTCTTTTGTAGATTGTAAAATTGTTTTTTTTGAAGATGTTTTAAGTTATATTAATATAAAAGCAGTGGCTAATATTAATTATAAAGATTGTGCATTAATTATAGATGCAATGGTAATCAAAACATCAGTTCTAAGTGATAAAAAGGCAGGTCAATTCATAGGCTTTATAGATTATGGAAAAGATATTGTCGCAATTGAAGCAGATACACCAGCTACAGAAGCATTGGTAGGATTACGAGGTCATTGGAAAACACCTATTGGCCTTATGCTGTGTAGTAAAATAACAACTGAAAACCTTTCATGTCTTATTAAAAAAGCATTAACAATTTCTTCTGATAAAAAAATTAATGTAGTAAAATTACATTTGATGGTGTAAGTGTGTTATGATAATATGAAATATGGAGAATATATATAAATATATATGTTTTGTATGATATTCTATATACTTTATGTATTGTGTTATTTTGTTATAGACTAGTATAATTATAGCTCTTTTGAGCCAACATAATTAATATGGTTATTCTTTACAATCAAAAGAGCTAGAATATTATTATGAAATAAAAGAAAGATAGATCGATTCATGAAACCTGACAGACTTGGTATAGATCCAAACTCAGCAGATGCAGCAAAAACATACAACCATTGGTTAAGAACATTTAACAATTTTGTAAGTACAGTAGATAATAACTCCATTAAGCTTAATCTCCGAATAAACCATATTGAACCTAATGTATATGAATTCATATCAGAGTGTGATGATTTTGAACAAGCAACAAGTATTCTCGAGTCTATCTACATAAAACCAAAGAATGAAATATTTGCCAGACACATTTTGTCAACACAAAAGCAAAAACCAAGTGAAACAATAGATCAATTCCTCAATGAACTTAAAAATTTATCTAAGGACTGTAAGTTCACTGCTGTTACAGCTGAGCAATATAAATCTGAAATGATTCGCGATGCGTTTATAAATGGCTTACTCTCCAATAGTATACGCCAACGTTTACTAGAAAACAAAATATTAGACCTTTCATCAGCCTTTGACCAAGCTAGATCTTTAGACGTGGCCCAACAAAACTCAAACTTATACTCACAATTGACTATACCTACCTCTGCCTCTATTCAGGAAATCAAATCACCTTTACAAAAACAGTCCATGACTGATAATCACTTAGCTGCTACAGCAAAATCAAAACAATTGTGCTGGTTTTGTGGAAACATAAGACATCCACATACTAAATGTCCTGCTCGCGAAGCTATCTGTCACAAATGTAAAAAGATTGGTCATTTTGAAAAACTTTGCAGATCATCTAATGTTTCTGCTGCTATTCCTAAAATTGATGATGATTACTTCTGTGCCACCATATCAGCTTCAGCAAACTCTCTATTCAGAGTTTGTCATAACATCATTATTAATGATAGATATAAAGCAGAAGCATTAATTGATAGTGGAAGTACAAACAAAAGTTTTATAAGCAACAAACTAGTGACTCTACTCCATTTAAATATTATTTATGAACAGAGTGTAATTGGAATGGCATCAGCTGCCTTATCTGCAAAATCAGATGGATATTGTTATGTCTCAATAGCTCTTCAAAACAAAATCTATAACCAAGTCAAGTTGCATGTGCTGGATAACTTATGTGTAGATGTTATTCTTGGCACAGATTTTCAAGAGTTGCATGAAAGTATTACTATCAAGTATGGTGGGAAAAGACCACCCATAACATTTGCTGCTTTATTAACAATGAAAACTGAACCTCCTGAATTATTTGCTAATCTCACGCAAGATTGTCGACCGATTGCCACTAGATCTAGAAATTATTCTCAAAGAGATAAAGAATTTATTAAATCTGAAATCCATCGCCTGACTCAAGCAGCAATAATAGAGCCTAGTAATTCACCTTGGCGTGCCCAGGTCTTAGTAGTAAATGAAAAGACTAAACGTCGCATGGTTGTTGATTACTCTGAAACTATTAATAAATATACTCAATTAGATGCATATCCTCTACCTAAGATTGAAACGATTGTGAATATAATTTCTAAATACATAATTTATAGTACTCTCGACCTTCGCTCAGCATACTACCAAATCCCTTTATCAAAAAAAGATCGACCATATACTGCTTTTGAAGCTGACAATAAGTTGTGGCAATATACTAGAATGCCTTTTGGAGTTACCAATGGATCTGCATGCTTTCAACGCAAAATAGATGACTTTGTTAGAAAATATAAACTAACTGACTGCTTTCCTTTCATTGATAACATTACAATATGCGGTAATAGTCAGAAAGAACATGATGAAAATCTACTTAAGTTCAGATTAGCTGCCATTGATGCTGGAATTACATTTAATGAAGAGAAGTGTGTATTTTCAACTAAGACTTTAGATTTTTTAGGTTACCGTATATCGTATGGCTCTTTAAAACCAGATCCTCAGAGACTTGCTCCTCTCATCAAGTTACCCCCACCTGATAATGCAAAGTCTTTACAGCGAATTATTGGAATGTTTTCGTACTATGAAAAATGGATAAGAAAGTTTTCAGATAAAATTAGACCTTTAAACTCTGTTACTCAATTTCCACTCAATCAGCAGCAAATATCAGCATTTGAAACATTAAAAAATGAACTTGTTCAATCTTCCATGCAAACCATTGATGAGAATATACCTTTTACTGTGGAGACTGATGCTTCTGATTTTGCCATATCCGCCACACTTAATCAGGATGGAAGACCTGTTGCCTTCCATTCACGTACCCTTCAAGGGAGTGAACAATACTATTCATCAGTGGAGAAAGAAGCTCAAGCGATAGTTGAAGCCATAAATCATTGGCGTCATTTTCTTTTGGGTCGACATTTCATTCTCATCACTGACCAACGATCTGTGGCGTATATGTATGATTATAAATCAAGAAGTAAAATAAAGAATGATAAAATAATGCGTTGGAGAATAGCTTTGTCTCCATATTCTTATGATATCCATTATCGTCCTGGCCAATGTAATAGTGGCCCAGATACATTTACTTGAGTTAAATGTGCAGCAATAAGTTCAGAATCTTTATATAATTTGCATGCTGCACTTTGCCATCCTGGTGTTACTCGCTTCCATCATTTTATTTGATCAAGAAACCTCCCTTATTCAGTAGAAGATGTAAAACAAATATGTAGGGATTGTAGAATATGTAGAGAAATAAAACCCAAGTACTATCGCCCAAATGATGTGCACCTGATTAAGGCGACTCAGCCATTCGAACGTATATCTATTGACTTCAAAGGCCCATTACCTTCTTCAACCCCTGAACAGGATATGCAAAGAATTGTAGACGAATACTCACGTTTTCCATTTGCTTATCCTGTGAAAGATATGACAACTCAGACAATAATAAACTGTTTAGCTGATCTTTTTTCAATGTTTGGTATGCCTAGCTATATTCATTCGGATCGTGGATCCTCATTAATGTCTTCTGAATTAAAGCACTGGTTCTTATCAAAAGGGATCGCAACTAGTAGAACAACCCCTTACAATCCGACTGGAAATGGGCAAGTTGAAAGATACAATGGAATTATTTGGAAGGCGATATTACTTACTCTGAAATCTCGAAATCTGCCTATATCATCATGGAAAAGAGTTTTGCCTGATGCACTTTATGCTACAAGATCTCTATTATGTACTTCTACTAATTGTAGTCCACATGAACGTTTTTTTAATTTTCAAAGAAGATCATCATCTGGGTCTTCAATTCCTTCATGGCTTGTTAACCCTGGACCTGTACTTATAAAAAGAAATGCAATGCAAAGTAAATATGAAGATTCAGTAAATGAGGCTCAGCTCATTGAAGCAAATCCTCATTATGCCATTGTGAGATTTCCTAATGGTCATGAGACTACAGTGTCTACAAAACAGCTGGCTCCTATCGGAACAACTCCTATAGTACAAACATCAAATGACAATTTAGAAATAACAGCTATTGATAACTACCCCTTAACCCCTAATGGTAGCAATGAAACTCCGTTAGTCTCCGAAGAGGAACTAGAAAGCAGAGGGAATCCTATAGAGCAAAGTACTCTGCCTCCTCGTAGATCTTTACGAATTTCTAAAGCACCAGAAAAACTC